TCCTCCCTGTGACATGAACCATTCTTTGCCTTCTCCCTTATTATTTATTTTTTAAAATAAATGAAGCTGCCTGAAGCACTGAAGAGAGAGAGAAAAGAGAGAAAAGCACCCAAGCAGACCAAGAGTTGTCAGTGCTTCCTGCAGCCCTAAGCCTTGCTTGGTGGAGCAGCACCAGCCAGAGCCAAGCTTAGAAACCACAGCAGTCAACCTGTTGAACCTGGTATCCAGGGGAGAGATGGAAGCCCTGAGCTAATTACGATCACCAGTAACTGCCATCTCAGCCCAAATCCCGTGGCAGAGGCAGGAAGAAGTCATCTGGCTGACTTGTTACTCTCCAGCTTGATCTGCACCGGAGCCATTGCCATGGCCAGAGCCTTCGTCCTGCAAAGGTGACTCTGCATCACTTCAACACCAGTTAAGTTAAGAGAGGCAGTTTAAAAATCAGAGGCTAATCTTAACATGTTCATGGGCTAGAAGCATCACCCTCTGAAACAATACACAGACAGTGCAGAGGACTTCTTCAGATACTTTCTTAATTAATCTTTTTGCTAAACAAATTTACTTAGAGGCAGCAGGCAGGGAGAAATTAAACTGGTTTTATCCACGTTAAACATGTCCCCTTATGCTTTTAGTACTAGGGTTATGTACAAGCTTTGTTTTGCCTTTTATTCTTTTTTTTTTTTTTTCTGAACAGTGTTTTTTTTTCCATTGCTTGGTCAGTATTTTAGCAGCCATTAGTGATCTGGTTCCTATAATCAGTATAGGTCACCAAGAAATCAACACTCCAAGTTTCACTGTACTCAAGACAGAAGACAGTAGAAGCACCTCAAGCCAGAAAATGCTGATCCATTGCTTGGTCAGTATTTTAGCAGCCATCAGTGATCCGGTTTCTATAATCAGTACAGGCCACCAAGAAATCAAGACTCCAAGTTTCACTGTACTCAAGACAGAAGACAGTAGAAGCACCTCAAGCCAGAAAATGCTGACACAGGTTGTTTTGATGTTTCTCACACACATGAAATTCTTTGTGCAAAACACCTGAGCTTTTCTGCTAACGGTGCCAGATTTGCTCCATGAACAGAGAGGCTCGCTACTCCTGTTCCCACACCAGCACAGGAGCTGTACCCACCCCTGTGCGAGGGACACCCCCAAAGTGCCTGCCCAGAGGCTGCTCCACAAGCATCAGAGCCATGGAAACACAGGTTCCTACAGGCTCTGCCCACGGCACTGCCCAGGGAGGGCTCCTGGGTGGATTGTAAGACCCTTCGTGCTCACTCTGCTCTTTCTTCCCAGTTCTCCCACCTCCCTCCAGCTGCCTCTCTTCATAAAACTCATCTCAGAAAGTGGCACCGCTAATTCCTCTGTCAGACCTGGCTCCACAACTGGTTCAAAAAGTGAGCTGCATGCAGAGAGGAGGGATGGCCAGAGCAGGATGCAGTGCCATTTATTCCTTAGCAAGCCATACAACAAAACCTCCACAGCCAAAAAACAAACCAACCCCCAAAACCACAAATGGAATGAATTAACCCATGTTATCTCAGCTTATGTTTCAGCACAACCCAGCGCTCCCTCCACCTTTCCTCCACTGCCCTCTCCATCCCATCCACGCTCTCACACAGCCTGCTCTTCCTGTCTAACGTTGCAGCTCAATGTTTTTCAGATCCCTAAATTAAGCTCCACAACTCCAGTCACAGAAGGAACTCCCAGGAACTAGGGTATTGTGTTCATGCAGCGTTCAAAAAGCTGGTGTTTATTTACACGTAAATTTTAGTTGTCTGACCTTTTTTGGCTGCTGGATCACCTAACTGGTCCCAGATGTTTTATTCTGTTTTGAGATGGGGGTTTTCTTGACCCCTGAGTGACTGTCAGCTGCCCCTGGGATATGCTGACGAGCACCGGAGCACAGACCAGCTGGGAGCCAGCCCAGCTCTCAAAAAGAGGGGCTTTTGCAGGAAAATCCATCTGTGGGCAGCAATCCAGCACCCGGGGAGCTACAGCCTGTCCAGGACCATGAGACCTGCACCAGAATCACCCCCTTGCCCTCACACCCAAACTGGGGTGGTTTTCCCCAGCAGCATCCCCATTGCCCTTTTGATTTGCAAAATACTCCTGGGGCTTTTTGCAATCTCAGGGCTGAGAAAGGAGAGGGAGAAGCACTGCACCCACCCTCCTGGGGGCAGAGGGGGGCAAACAGATTTACAGTGCAAGCAGGAGGTGCTGGTCATCCAGATAACCATGTTCAACACGGACAGCTTTCCTGCTGCTAGGGAAATCTATAGGGGACATCTCATTAACCGATGCAGCTTTCCTTTCCCTCTAATTTAACGGTATTTCTAAAACAATTCTACATCCAGGTTTCCCCCAGCTTTACTAAATGTTCAGAAATCTCTGATCAGGCTGGATAAAAAACAGAGAACAGGCCAGATAAAATAACATTTGCATCGAGTGAGTGCCTCCAGGCAAGGGGTAGGTGAAGGTTAAACAGATAAAAGAGACTTAGGCTGTAACAGAAATTTCCTGGGGATTAAGGAACTGCAGAAATATGGCTGATAAGAGCCTCACTCACCCACGCAAACTCGACCACAAGGGGAGGGGGGAAAGCAAAACCCACAAAAATAGACATTTTAATAAATATATACACATATTCTATCTAGTATAATGAAATAAAAATGATAATTACTTTCTTGCACAAAGAAAGTTTGTAATTCCTGTGAAACTTCAGTTTCTCATTCAAAAAGGGCCTTTGGGCTGATGCAAACACTGTGTGAGACTTCTCATAAGCCATTTTCCTTAGCAAGCAGTTCTACCGACAAAGAGCAGCATGATTTTTCCCTTGGCTGTCAATAGCAAGAGTTGTCAGAGCTGGCTGCTATCAGCTGTGTGGAACAGAGAATCACTATCTGGTTTGGACTCTCCTGACGCTAGAGAGATCAGCTATCAGTGTTTGACTGTGCAGTTGTAAGGAGGCCACGAAGATAATCTGTAAGATCTAAAAGTGTGTATTTCTTCTGCTACAGGAATTTCCCTTAACTTCACCCGAGAGCCTCCCCCTGCCCTCAAGTACTCTGTATATCGTGCCATGCAACTGAAAAAAATCCCTTGAATAATAGGTGCCAAACTGACCCTGTCTGAGAGCTTAAACCAAGCACCTTTACACAGTTGCTCATCTTTTCCCTCATCAAATGCAAATCAAACCAGCCGACATCGCTTTCGTTAGTGATGAAATGAGCTCAACCCCTACCAGCCCTGTCAGAGCTCCCCGAAACCTTGGCCCCACAGCAGGGTGACAGCATCTACAGCTGAGCACGAGGTCAACTCACTCAGGTAACAGGCGCCTACAGACCCGAAAACAGGCTGAAAAGCATTTAGTCCATGCTGTTCTCCATCAGTAGACCTTCTGTTCTCCGTCACCGTACACCTCCTGGCTTTTAGCACTTCACCTGTCCCCTGTAGCGCTGAAATATCGCGGTGGTGCTAACATTACCTTGCTCATCAAACACCAGCCAAAACGACTTCTGTTATTTTCCTTGGGTTTGCTCCTCTCTCGTTGATGTGCCCGGTTTGTGTGCCCAGATGAAGGAAAGGGCAGGCACCTCTTTCCCCAGCTCCTGCTCCCTGGGAACCCATCCCACCTCAGCTTATAGAGACCTTGACCTCAGCGTAAGCTCCCATTTAGCACAAGGACATATTTTTTTCTACAAAGCAATTCAATTTCTAATACAAAATATTATCACATCCACATTTTTTCAGGACCAGTCCAGGAATTTAAATGAATATAAAAGACCATCAGATGAAGCTTGTCTTACAAAAAGTGAAAAGAATGAAATCCCTGCTAACTTGCTGTTTTCTGTGTGTGTGTGTCAGTTTTACAGGTGCTTTTTGGCGCTGCTGAGATGCAACAAAGCAACCGGGAACTCCAGCAACAAGTCCTGTTCCAGGTCCGGCCGGGCGCTGCCACGGGGACAGGGTGACAGTGTCCCCGCAGCAGCTTCCTCGGCCGAGAGCCCCCACTTGCCTCTGAGAGACACCCCAGCAGCCAAACGGGCCGTGCTGGTGGCCCACTACAGTGTCTGAGGGGGCTAATGCCACTGGCTGCCACTGTGTTTGGGGAGTCTGAGTCCAGAGGCAAGAGTTTTGCCGAACAACCTCGCCTTGTGGCTTTGTTTCTGATGAAAACTCGCCCTTCTGCTTCCTCAGAGGTTGGCTTCATCAATAAGCCATTTCCCTGTTTCTCAAAGACTCTTCCCTAATCAAACGTTCCCTAATCAAAAGTTCTGCGGGAGTTTGGGAAGAAAACATAATAAAAAACATAGATGCCTCTAGAAAAAGGTTTAAGAAGTAATTTTCAAAAAAAAAAATGTTCCAAAGACTTTCTGCCAAAACCCAACCAAGCGCAAAACCCCAAACCCAACAACAAGAAGACGGAGATCCAGAGCACCTTGGTGCAGAACAGCCCCGAGAAACAATCTGCACACAAAGTGGGGAAGCAAACAGGACATTCTTCAGAAGAAAAACTATCAACTTGCAGATGTTTTCTCTCTGGTTTGGATTATGCTGTACCTTAAAAGTCTCACTTTGATTTTCAGTACAAACCTGAACAGACTATGAAGAACTGCAGCTACAATTTTAAAGTGCATATATTGGATACGTTTCAAAGTGTAGAAATTGCAGCTGAAGCTTGAGAAACCGAGTATTTTAGCGATTTTTCAAGAATAAGTTATTAACTTACAAAGTTATTGCCCCAAAGAATACTCTCCTTATAACACCCTGTGAACAAACAACTCTCTGAATATGCAGGACTCAGTCGGGTGAAGCCCTCACCTCTGGAAATCTGCTGGTTTGTAAGCGCCAAGACAAAAGGAGGAGTGATCCCAGCTCTTTTGAGAAGCGTGGTGGTTGCCAGAGGATTTGTGGAGCCAAAAGGGCCGGGCTGTGAGCAGGGCAGCTGCATTCACCAATACCAGATGAAACCCTGCAGCATCGAACAGTAGCAGCTACAGCGTATTTTTTACCCAGAATAGTCCCAGTGACCCCACCAAGAAAGCTGGTTGAGGACCCTCCACAGGATCTTCCTCCTGGACCATCTCTGGGAACTGAAGTGACAGATGGTTATCTTCTACAAACGCAAAAGCATTGGAAAGCCTCAGAGGTACAGCTGGAGGAAGAATTAAAAACAAACAAACACGAACAACCTTCTCTCTCATTAACTCTGAGCCCAATCCCAATATTATGACAATATTTGTCATCTCAAATAGGAAGGAAAAAGTGAAATAGCAACATTCTGTGGAGAATCAATTTTCAAACCCCAAACTACAGGGAAAAGCCATCTTTCAGATGAGTTTCACACTGCAGTACGTCCACACCACTGCCACAGTGGATATCAAAAACTGGCATCGCAGCACTTTAATTACCTTGTGCTGGCCAAGCCAGAATTGGGGAATGCAGAGGTCTGGGTGAAGGAGTGATGTGGGAGAAAAAGGTAATTGGATTTTTTTGATCACTGAGTGAGTGGGATCCATTTCAAACTGCCCATGTTAGATCTTTCCCCATACAAATGGACACGTATCGCTTTCAGGAATAAGCGAACCACTAAGCACTTCAGCAGAGTCTCCAGCTGCAGCTGCCCAGGAGCGAGGATGCAGGAACCCGCCTGCAATTCTTTCCTGGAAGTATAAACATCCAGCCCCAGATGAGACCATCAACAACCTTAGAACTGCCTATTGCATTGAAGAGAGAGTGGTGCTGAGAAACAACTGACCCAAAACTTTCACAGGCTCAGCAGGTTCCCTGAGCAGCCCACTCTGGATGTCCCCAAACAGCCTCCCAGGACGATGCAAGCCCCTGCATCTCAGCTTCCCCCACTGAGCTGCAAAACACCCTCGAATACATCAAAAGCCATTCCTGCTCAAAGCTCTTAAACCTTTGGGTTTGCTGCCGAGGACCAAAGCCCCTCGTGTGCCCTCCCAGGGTCAGAGGGCATTTGCCAGCCGTGGGGCTGGCACAGCACAGCCCACCACCTCCTCCAGGCTGGTCTCCATCTCCATCTCCCCACCACCACGAGCACCCTGTGCACATCGCTACGAGAGTCCCTGTTTCAGAGAGATACTGGTTTTTACAAGTGACTGTAAGCCATTTTTTCCTTCCAGGGATGTGGGTTTATTTTTTCTTTGCAATGTTAACAAAAGCCTTCTCATACTCACACATTACTGCACATTTTTTTTTTTTTTTTTTTTTTTATCCTTAAGCCCCAGTTGGAGCGATAACCTAAATAACACCAAATGTTTTCAAATAGAAGCTAAACCCATGAAGTGAGGCTGTTGCTGAGGTTACATTAGTGGATGAAATCAAAGCAATGGATGCACATATTGCTAACGAATACACATCAATTATTTATTCCCAAGCACACACTTTTAAAGGGCAGTTTGCTATTTTCAGATTACAAAGCACACCAGGAATTTTTCAGTCCATCTTTTCCTTTCCTTGATACTGTCTTTAGGTGGATTATTAACTTTCAATACGTATTTCTAAATTACTATTAACTTTGCAAATACGTGATTGGTGATTTTTGTATATGGAAGAATCTGTTGTGTCCTAGCGTATATACAAGTTTGGCTTTGGTACGGCTTTGAGGTGTTAAATAGTGTGTGGCTTGTGATACATATTTATGTTTTCAACACAAATTGTTAGTTTCTGTTCCATTAACCCTGTAACCTGTGGCAAACACCACCTGCAGCTCCGCTCCAGCAAGTGGCTCGTAACTGCACTGATGCTGTTTGGAAACATGCAGGACGTTGGAGCTATAAATAAAAAATATTCTCGTGCTGTGCCTTGCTTGCCTGATTTCCTGCGTGCAAGCAGAGTTTGGTCTCTCCGGGCTTTCACAGGTAAGAGGTTTTGACAGAGGACTTGAGGCTGATTTTCACAGTAGCAATAGCAGCGGGAATAGCAACGTGAGAAATGGGATTGCCACCACTCAGCACGCTCCAGAAAGAACACCTGTGAAATATTATAGCCCCAAACGGTTTCTAATCCTTCCTAAACATTTGGGATGCTTCCGCTTTCTTCCCAGGCAAGGGAAAGCTTAGGCAAGTATATAATTCCCATTGTTGGGCGCAGTAACAGCAACAACAAAAACCCACTTTCAGAAAAGGATTCAGCTTTCTCTGGCTACGCTGAGCATGGATTTAGCCTACCAGAGAAAATCGTATTTGGCTTTGCAACAGGAGGAGGTGGTGCCACAGCTGTGGAACGAGTGGCCCTGGACACCAGCTGGGGCAGGAGGGAAGGAGCCAGGTGAATGGTTGTCATTAAAAGAACTGATCATTTCATACCAATTTGCCCTGATATTTTTCCAAAGCTAAGCAGTGGCAACAAGCAGTGTTGCTGGGTGTGCAACAAGCAGTCGAGCATTCAGCCTTCTCTCACCCGCTCTTCAGCATCTCCAACATCTGAAAAATAGCTAAATGGCTGAAAATTTGCTCCTAGTGCTGTTTTGCATTGGGTTTTTCCATGATATGGAAATGTTATGTAGCTTTGAAATTGGGCATGCCACTGCGTGCTGAACCAATCCCTAGTAAATCCTTAGGATGTCCCAACAGAGACTTTGCATGGTATTTGGATGTAAATCTAAGAATCAAGTTTAGGGTCTCAAGCTAAACTGATAGAGGAGGAAACTAATATCAAACAGTTCCAAGTAGCCTCAGTCTTTAGAGGCTCTTTGGAGGTCTCCCTTCTCAGCATCAGGTAAGAATAACAAAGGATGATGACAGGAGGTATCTACAGCACAAACACCAAGTTTGGAGCACACACACCAATGAGCCCTGCACTGACCCACGGGACACATCGGGTGTCACACACCAGAGGCACAAACCACATTGTACTCACTAGAGAAAGAGCTTTTGAATATTCTCTCCTTTAATACCTGGCTTGTGCGTTGGTTCCATTTCAGGAAGAAACACAGTGCCTGGGCTAAAGTCTCTTCAGTCAAGGGCATCTTCTCACTGGCCATAAGAGGGCTTGCTTCAGGCTCATAGTCTGACAATTCTAAAAAAATCAGTTTCCCTTGCCTTGAATTAAACATCAATACCAGCTTAGCTTTTTAAAAAAAAAAAAGAGGCCTAGGTCCCATATTAGAAGCAGAACAAGCAGAAGTCCTTTGGGAGAAGGATGAAGAAGTGCAGGAGATGCAGGGAGGTAACTCCCAAGGAAATTTGGGTTCACCAGTTCTATGCGAGAGGGTACAGCCAATATTATTACGGCAATAAGCAACAGGCCAGTCTTGGTCAGTGCAGGAACCAGACAGGACAGCACCCAGAAAGGTATGGAGCTGATGTACAACTTATTTTTACACAGTGCAGTGCCAGGGGAGAACTAGATTTAGAGTGATTAACATTTACTTCAGTTACTATAGTGACTGATTTTATTTGTCTTCTCCATGGGATAGATGAGTATTTTCTCCCACAGGCCTTAAAGAGCATCACCCAAAAAAGGCGGTGCTTTTTGGTCACACAGCTCGCAACTGAAATAACACCCAGCCCCTGGAGTAAACTTAGAAAAAGCTTCTAAGTTTATTGGGTTTTGCCTACGAAACAATAAGCGAATTTGATAGCAAATGGACAAACTGCAGCAGAATGATACCACCACCTTAACCAGCCCATAAAAGGTTCTGCAGCACTTTTGTGACATTTTGGCAACAAGAGCAGAGAGAATGTACCAGGTGGCCCCCTTTCTTTTCATGATACAAATAGCAGTGCCTTGTTTTCAAGACTACTGAACACCAGCAACTACTAATCACGACCACTGCACCAGCCCTACTCGTCAGGGCTGGTCAGACTTGCAGTCCATGGCTGACTTCTACACAGCACCTTTTTTTTTTCCCCTAAGTTTCCTTGCAGAAGTTTATCATCTTTTCACAGAAGGGGAGAGGAGGCAGCATCAAATACTCTTGCTTTATCCCCAGTATTTACATGTAATTGTACTCTAAACTACATTACGAGCTTTATGCACTTTGCCAGAAGGCTGGAGAGCAAGACACAGATAAGTGCAAACCCCTTGTCTCTTATGTAAAGTGTAAGTTATCAGTTTGTGATATAAACATAAGCATTAGCAGCAGCATTGAGACTGCTGGTGAAATTTGTCACCGAGATGACAGAGACTGAGAGCATCTCCTGGTCTTTCCGCAGGATTTTCCAATTATAAGTGGAGCACAGGTTGTCTTGTAGATAGCTTTTAATTGCAATGGTCATTTTAATTGTAAGGTACAATGTATGTTCCTCAGCTGGGAGGAAAGCTATTTCCAGTAGGGGAAAAAGCGAATATAAGGCAGGTTTAGGCCACCAAAGTCTTTCACTTAAAAGCTGCTTCTACTTGAGAAAGAAGTGCCACATTACAGGACCTGCCTGCTCAGAGATAGAGGGAAATCAGCCCAAGTTAACTAAGAGATACAGATTTAAAGTGAATTGGTTAATCTGCATTAAGCTGCTTTAATTCTGAGTCAGTGGTCTTTACTCTGCTTTAAGGTATAATTAAGCTGAAGTCAATCACAGTAAAGTGAGATTATTTGAAATCCAAGTCCAGAGGAGGGTTCAATGCAAGCTCAACAACCTGCTTTTAAAACATAAATTCAGATCAACTTTCCTGAGTACCCCTTGTCTGGCCAGAAGTCCTCCAAAGAGCAAACACTGGATTGTCAACAGAGTCTGTCCCTACCCTGCTAAGGCCTGGATCCAGCCCTGAACATCTGCAAAATGCACCACAGCTCCGGACACGCCACGGGCTGTTGAAGGGCACGTATCCATCATGAACCTCCACTCTTGCCAGCCTTAATGAGGCACCTTGCTTCCACTCTGCTAAGTCTTAATGAGGTACTGCCACAAATTTGTTGATGGCTTCTGTACAAGACAGCATGACCCAGCAGCTCGCCTACAGCACCCTAAGCCACAGCTGTAATCAAAGATAAAAATGAAGCCAAAGATCTTAACAAGCTCAAAGGATGCCTGTTGCTACGTCCTAATGGCAGCACATTTGCCATGTCACATTTGATGCCGCTAAAAGATGAGCTTTCTCATTGCCTTCAGTCCCACAGCAGCCAGCATTGCGTATCGTAACCACGTTTTCATCAAATAAATCAAAGCCTACTGCTCACGCCTAATGAACCCTTGCAAAATACCTCCCAGGTATGAGATTTAAAAGCCTGGAGTGCTTTTGAGGGCAAAGACATTGAAAAAAGCTCTGCGGATGAGAGTTCATTCAAGTGTCAAGCTTATGATCTAAATGTAGTAAAAATGCACCAAGTGCCAGCCACAAACAGTTCTAGCAGCAGTCACTGTGATCCAAGAAGAAAAACATCCTTTCAAAAGAGACACGGGAGGAATGAACACAGAGGATCCCATTTCACTCACTCTAAATTATCAGCTGACAGTTACACAGCCCAAACCAGGTGAACAACAGAACAAGAATGTCAGCATCTATTAAAAGAAAGATGTAAAACAGAAGACAGAAGAGGATTAAAGTCAAAGCGTACACAATCCTGTTTCATAATAAGATCTGGAAATAGATGTATACAAGCATTATATGGCCAATTACCCACCTTTGCTTTGGGGAGCTGCCTGGGCATGGTAACTCATTCACATCAAACGGGAGTGACTCCTACACAGAGGAAAAAAATCCTATCTTGCACGACTACATAACCCAAACACAGTCAGTAACTTGAGGTACTTCTGCATAAGCCCTTCTATAACCACCCTATAGAGAGAACTACCTGTTTCTTTATATTTATTTCTGCCCATCAATGTTTATCCTCCTCACACAGAGGTGTTCACATCCAGTATGAAACCTCTGCACGTGCACTACCACGCAAAAGAGGGATTTAACTTTTACCCTTAAGCTCCAAAACCTCAGATCCAGCCAAGCTGCCATTTTTTTGGCATAACAGAAACCAAGGAGGAAATAATTGCACCAGGTGTGAAAACTGACTTCTTCAAAATAAGTTGCTCTTGGTCTGTGAGCATGTACATGGCCTCCTCCTAACTTTTTAGGGGCATGACAGCTGGACAAGATCTTCACTCAGGAAATAACCCAGTAGCCTAGTTTTCAAAAGGTACAGATTTTGGGGTACTGGAGTTTGTGAAGGCTTTCGGGTAGTTTCCCTCAGCACCAGTATGGCCGTCTGAGCTACGAAGCT